TAACATACTTTGGGCATGTTGTGAGGAGAGACCGGTCCTTAGAGAGGGACATCATGCTTGGGAGGGTGGAGGGGACAGCACAGGAGAGGAAGGCCCTCTAAGAGGTGGATTGATTCAGTGACTGGGATAATTGGGATGGGAGTGTCAGAGACAGTGCGATTGGCACAGGACAGAGCGGACTTTAGGGCTGTTGTACGTAGGGTCGCTATGAGTCGCAGGCGACTCTACAGCACATAGCAACAACAGCAACATTCTGGTATGAAGCATCTTGGTTTTCACTTCTTTATCATTCTGATGAGACATACTTCTTTGGTATTTTTCAATCTCATATACTTTATAAATTTCCGGAAATAAAAGAACATTTTCCAGTCAGTTCTGTTCTTCTGCTGTTGCATATATGCATAAAGTATATATGCTGTTTGTATATACATAAAGTAGGCAGTCAGGGTGCTAGTGAATCAGAGAAATGATTCTTTGTCGGAAGAGTTTACACTCTTCATGGTATCACCAAATCATACTATTTGTTTATCACTGGTAAAGAAAAAAGCACCTCTTAAGAGAGGTAACCAAAGAAGAGAGGCTACTTATACTCTCAGGTGACATGTGCTGATAGACAAAGGAAGACAGCCTTGCTGGAGAAAGAGGACAAGGCAGCTGTGCAATGAGGCCGTTAGGAGAGCACCTTTAATTCTTGGCAACCTGTGAGCTCCCTCGTGTCTCTCTTCAGAGAGGTTATACTGGGATTGTTAACCTTTTGTTGTTGTTCATTTTAATGAAAGTTTACAGAGACTTTGGATTTCCATTCATTCATTGTTATACACTTTCCTCCGTGCCCACCCCTTCCATCCAGTTTGCTATTCTCTTTGAAAAGTTAGAAAAAAGTATTTCATTGTTATATAATTACTGTACCCAGTGCCCCACCCCCCACACCCACACCCCATATACTCCACTGTGCAGCTTTCATTCTGGACTCTTATCATGACAATAATACCTCCTCATATATTCCTCCTAAACAGTTCTCTCCCTCATCTGTTTCTATGCCGTATACATTATTTATCCCCTCTTATTCATTTCCCCCCAACTCTGGTGTCAGACCAGTTCTACAACAGTAGCACTATGCAGTATTTGTCCTCTTATGACTGAGATATTTCATTCGGCATAATGTCCTCCAGGGTCACACATTTTGCATAATATTTCATGAATTCCTTGTTTTTCAGTGCAGCATAGTATTACATTGTGTGAATATACCACAGCTTCTCTATCCATTCATTTTGTTGATATGCACTTGGGTTGTTATGGTTTCTTTGGGGTATATTCCCAGTAGTGGCATTGCTGGGTCAAATGGTATTTCTTTTTACAACTTTTTGAGAAAGCGCCGTACTGCCTTCCATAGTGATCACGCCAGATTGTTACCTTTTCTACAGATTTTTAGATTCCAGACTGAGTTTACTCTTTATGGGCATAGATTTGGGATTTAACAGTATTTGAGATACCACTCTCCAGCTGTCAGATATTTTTAATGGTCTCATTTCCATTAAAAGAGCTGCTACCTTGCGGCTTCAGCAGAAGAGAAACATTTTGTAAGATAACAGTATGTGGAAATGTGTTGAATGTCCATTAGAACCTCCAGTTTTAGTGCAACAATGAATGAATGGAAATCCAAAATCTCTGTAAATGTTCATTAAAATTAATAAAATAATTTTTTTTTAAAAACCCTCCAGTTTTACATTGATTCTTAAGCTTTGATATATGTGTGCATATTTCAGTCATCCTGGAAGCAAGCTTAAGCAAGCAAACAAACTGGGACCCAGGCCCATTCTACAGAGATGTGTTTTTATTACTCTGTAGAAATTCTGAGGAGCCCTGTTGGCATAACATTTAAGTACTTGGCTACTAACGTAGGGGAATTTGCAGTTGGAACCCATTATCCTCTGGTGACTTAGTGGTAAGAATCTGTGCAGCAGTCCCAAAGGCATGTGGTTCGAATCCACCGGCTGCTCTGCCAGAGAAGGATGGAAGACAATCTTGCAATTACTGCCTTTGAAAACATGCTGGCCAGTCAGCTTAGGGTTGGTTCCAGCTCGATGGTACACAACAACAACCTCTCCACAGGAGAAAGATACTATGATTTATTGCCATAAAGATTAGAAATGCTATGGGCAGTTCTGCTCTGCTCTACAGGGATACAGTGGGCTGGAGTCAGCTGAACCTGAGTGGATGGGAAATGTACCTGAGCTTGGTTTTTGATGGTGGATTTTTTTAAGCTCCCACTTATAATAAACTGTGTTTCAAAACTTCTTTATGAATTATGCTATATTTTAATAAGTTCTTTTAGAGAATAACTAAATCTTTGTGCAATGTAGGTATACAATGATGCACACATCCTGGAGAAGTTGCTCAAGGATAAACGGAAAGAACTGGGCCCCCTTCCTGACGACGATGACCTGGCCTCACCCAAACTTAAGCTGAGTAAGGAAGCTTGACCCTGTGTTTAGTTCAGCATGGATAGAGAACTGATTTGCTAAAATAATGTTAAATCAGTTGTTGAACATATAGAGCTCTGATGGTATGGTGTGTTACATGTTGTGCTGTCAGTGCTAGTGGTGGGCACAACCAGTCTTGCATTGTTTCTCCCCTCCTGTTAAGTACTCTCTTTTATGACATTTTAACTAAACTTTGAAGAATGAAAATTTAATCCTCAAAGCTTTTACCTATTGTTCTTTTTTTTTCCTTTCTTTTTTTAGTTTTTCAATGTGTATCATCAAATTAGGTCTGAGTGGTACAGAAGGAGGTTGCCCCCTCCTTCGCCAGCAGAGCATCTGGTGGATTTGAACCACGTACCTCTGGGATTGCAGTGCAGCGTCTTGCCACTACGCCACCAGGGCTCCCTTTTTTTTTTTTAAATGAGGCAGTTGTGCTCTGTCCCATTGGGTTGCAGTGAGTTGAAATCAGCTGCACAGCAGTGCATTTGGGTTTGGTTTTGTGATTCCTGGAAGAGAAGGGTGGCAGAGTTCTTTTTCTTTTCTTCTTCCTTCTCCCCTCCCCCTTTTCTGGAAAGTTTGTTTTTAATTGCCAGAATCAGAATATATCATCGCAGATCTTACTGGACTGAGAATGTGAGAGGTTATAGAGCTACCCATCCATCATACATTGGCTGTCCTGGGAGTGTGGACTCGAAAGCGGTGGTAAAAACTAAACAGATTTTATTATTATTTTTTTATTATTATTATTTCATAATAAGTAAGTGCATACAGGCACTCTGGTGGCCTAGTGGCAAGAAGCTACACTGCATTCCCAGAGGTGCACAGTTTGAATCCACCATATGCTCTGCTGGAGAAGGAGGGACAATCTCCTCCTGTACTAGTCAGATCCAATTTGACAGTACACGCACAAAAAAGAATAAAAAATAAAATTTAAGAAAAAAATAAGTAAGTGCATACATCTACATTTCAGAGTCCGGAGAAAAGGATTTCTAGTGTGAAATGTTTATTTCATTTTTATTTCTGTTCTTTTTTATGATGAACTTTTTTAAACATGGCCAAATATAAGGACTAGTACAGTAAACTACTGTTGTACCTGCTATCCAGGAAAACCCCCTTCTCTCATTTTGGTCCTTTTGCTTTTGGTTGTGTGTTTTTTTGTGGTTTTTATTTTAAATTTGTGTGTGCACGTGCATCGGATCTGACTGGTACAGGACTAGACTTCCCCTTCTTCTCCTGTAGAGCATCTGGTGGATTCAAACCACACGCCTCTGGGATTGCAGTGCAGTTTATTGCCACTGGGCCACCAGAGCACCCTGCTTTGGTTGTTTTGAGAGGAGTTTTTGTTTTTAATCTTCCTAAATTATTTAGAACATTTCCGTATGTCAGTTCACATCTATATAATTTAGCATGCATCTTTAAGAGATGGACACATTTTCTTAACCAATAGCTCTCTTATTTTCTATCTTAGAAATTCAAACACATTGTCCTTGATTCAAAACAGACTCACAGCAGACCTTAAGCAGGTTTTCAGAAACAGTCAATCACATGGGAGGAGATTGCCCGTCATTCTTCCACAACATAGCTGTTGGGTTCAAACAGCATGCCTTTGCATTGGCAGTGCACTAGTTTAATTTTATCATTCCTTGCGCATTTATCAGCTGTAATAGTTCCTTCCATAGAAAGAACTTTTGATTCATCCAGAATTTGTTTACTAACAGTCTGCCATTATTTACCTAGTTATTTTGTTTATCTAGTATGTACTCTTAAGAACTCCTAGATTATAATATATTGCTGAATTTAATGCACTGTAATTGACTGGCTCCTGTGTTCTTTTGACTTGGCTGTAGTAAGAAGTTACTAGTAAATTATGTACTGTCTAAGGAGGCTCTGGTAGCCTAGTGGCAAGAAAGCTGCACTATAATCCCAGAGGCACACAGTTAAATCCACCAGATGCTCTGCTGGAGAAGGAGGGGCAGTCTCCTCCTATACCAGTCAGATCTGTTTTGACGGTACACACACACAAAATAATAAAAATGTTTTAAAAAAATTATGCACTGTCTGGTATTTAATTAATTGTCAGGCTCATTTTGTACATACTGAGAATCATCCACCTGCCAAAAAGCCCTGATATTTTAATGGAAATGAATATTTCAAAACTATAATACAAGGTATCCTGATATTGGGTTGGTCGTTATTTATAGACATTTTTAGTGAACAGAGCTATGAACTCTACACCTGTGTGTGTTGTTTACATTTAAAGATAAGAAACATTGTAAGTTCATACTGATAATTTAATTGCAATTCAAAGCAAGTTTTTGTTGAATCTCCTCTATCACTTTTTTCCCCGTGAAGAAAATCTTAGTTATCATACCAGAGATGATAGAATTAGTGTGTCATACATCTACTCATTTACTTTATTCCACTTTATGTTTTGCTATCTCAGCATACCCATGCTTACCCTTCCACCAGAAGTATGATTATTAAAAATAATTTTGGGGGGAGCTCTGGTGACCTAGCGGCAAGAAGCTGCTGCACTGCAATCCCAGAGGTATGTGGTTTGAATCCACCAGATGCTCTGCTGGAGAAGGAAGGGCAATCTCTTCCTGTACAGTCAGATCCGATTTGACGGTACATACACAAAATAATGATTAAAAAAAATAAATTAGTGTTTTTTTTGTTTTTCCTCTCTGCTATTATCCGAAAAGTTTACTAGATGTATACTAATTACTATGTTTTAAAAAGCATACTTTTTAAACTAGTCACTTTCTTTAGGCTGTAAGACCAGCACTATGTAAATTTAAAGCATTTATTTAATTTGGTCCATTAACATGAAATCTCTTCCTTTAGGTAGGAAGAGTGGCATTTCTCCCAAAAAGTCAAAATACATGACTCCAATGCAACAGAAACTAAATGAAGTCTATGAGGCTGTGAAGAACTACACTGATAAGCGGGGTCGCCGCCTCAGTGCCATTTTTCTGAGGCTTCCTTCTAGGTCTGAACTACCCGACTACTATCTGACCATCAAAAAGCCTATGGACATGGAAAAAATTCGAAGCCATATGATGGCCAACAAGTACCAAGATATAGACTCCATGGTTGAAGACTTTGTTATGATGTTTAACAACGCCTGCACATACAATGAGCCTGAGTCCCTGATCTATAAAGATGCCCTTGTCCTCCACAAAGTCCTTCTTGAAACGCGTAGGGACTTGGAGGGAGATGAGGACTCTCATGTTCCAAACGTGACCTTGCTGATTCAGGAACTTATTCACAATCTCTTTGTGTCGGTCATGAGTCATCAAGATGATGAAGGAAGATGCTACAGTGATTCCTTAGCAGAAATTCCTGCTGTGGACCCCAGCTTTCCAAACAAACTTCCCCTTACTTTTGACATAATTAGGAAAAATGTTGAAAATAATCGCTACCGGCGGCTTGATTTATTTCAAGAGCATATGTTTGAAGTATTGGAAAGGGCAAGAAGGATGAATCGGTATGTTTTCAAAGCATTTTTTTTTTTTTTAAGTGAGTATGATATTTAGTTTTTGGGGGTTTTTTTGTGGATTTTTTAATTATTATTATTAAATTTTATTAGTTTTAATGAAC